AGTGAATTGATCATAGCCTATAGCCTATGTTTGATCAATTTAGCCTTCTCAAATCATCAGGACTTGCCTAAAATAACATCTATATATAAAACAGTTCAAGTATATCACAATGTTAGTTTAAATGTTTAACCTATATAAATGTGCATATCCAATCGTTTGCGGTGAGTGGAAGCTGAAGCACGCTCTGCAGGACACGGAGGCGCCAGTGCAATCCCTTGCATTTTTTTTCTAACAGTGGAAACAACTTAAAATACGCAGTCATTTTTGCTGCTTTAAAAACAGCTTTAAAATTACTTTATTGCATTCCAGACGCTTTTAAAGCACTTTTCACTATAAATTTTACGGGTAGCTTGAATGTAAACATTGTCACGAATTCGTCGTATTCCCATTTGTAAAATAGCCAACAAATTAATTGTTGTAGGCTAACCCGATCTCATGGAAGTGCGTATAGCACGATATTCTGCTTCTATTTGGCGTCATATTTCTATGCAGAAATTGACTTTAGCATGCAAAAGACTGATAAATTCATAATTAACGGCATGGGTTCGGTCGAAATGTTTGTGGGGCAAATCTCAGGTCAGTCTACACCTGCAGGCGCCACTGACTCGGACGGTTGTCGTCGTAATAAACACCGTAAACAGCAAACGTTTGTGTGTCCGCGCTTAATGCATGAAAAGCATTTTAGGGGGCCCTTGGCTTTTGGGGGCCCAAGGCAGTCGCCTGCCTTTGCCTAATGGGTAAGTCCGCCCCTGATCTGGGGGCGTGTAGGGGGGCGTGGCAGAGTCTTAACTTTGATAAAGAATATCTCTTTGGTTTTGAGACTTTAGTCTTTGCAACTTCAGGGATCTTATCTATGCACAATCAGCTTGTAACACTCCAAAGAGAAAGAACAACTTGAAATCGCATCATATGACCCCTTTAAATGTAAAGCACCTCATGTCGAATTTTATTTATTAATTTATTTATTTGCACGGCCCATTGTACGTGGAAATGGCCTTGTATACATTTATGGATTAATAAGCTATCTTTAAGTGTATAAATCTTGTCGACTTGCCCGAATTTGTTTCTAAATCATTCCTAAAATCCCTTTTTGATGACTCGATGTATTTTAATCTCAAATCCTGTGTGAAAGTGCAGCGTTTCCTCTCGATCACATGATCGTGTTCCTCTGGGCTGCTGCTGGAAGACAAACTCACAAACATATGATCTGGTAAGGGTTTATTTTAGTCTCTTTGTGTGCATTTTAATATATTGTATTATGAATTCCAGTGTCATCATCGCGATTTTCTAGTCAGGTGTTCTATAAACATGTTTTTGTAACTCAAAGCAAACGATTATAGTTTGTTTATTAACTTGCTGAGAGAAACTAGGTGTTGGTGGGACAAAAAGAGTAGTGAAGCATAAAGACCCTTCAGTAATCTGGCGCATGTTTACAGTCAATTGTCTTCACTGTGCACTTCTAAATATCAGTCAAGTGTAATAAACTACAACTGTGCTTCCGCATTAATGTATGGTGCTAAAGTCTGGAGAAGGCAGGACTGTGTCTCTCTCTCACACACACACACACACACACACACAGACAGACAGAGAGAGAGAGAGACTCCAGGTTAATTTACCTGTTAGCTTCCTTCAGACACAGATAAAGCCATGAAGCTCATCATACTGGATGACTTTGACCAGGTCAGCGAATGGACTGCCAAATACATCAGGAACAGGATCAAGAAGTTTAATCCTGGTCCTGACCGGTTCTTCACTCTGGGTCTTCCAACAGGTAGCCATAAAAAAAAAAGTCACTGTTTTGTGCAAACACGTTCATTTGTAATATAGGCCTTCAATTCATATTCCCTGTGTTTTGCAGGAAGCACTCCGCTTGGATGCTACAAGAAACTGATCGAGTATCACAAGAAGGGAGAAATATCTTTCCAGTATGTGAAAACGTTTAATATGGATGAGTATGTAGGTATGTGACCGCTCGT